AGAGGACAGACTCCAAAAAATATACTCCAAAAACAAAAAAAAAAAAAGCAACGCTGGTATCACTTATTACAAATAAAACTATGTTTCACAGTCTGTGACTGGAAACAAGAAATACATTATATTTTAATTTTGCTTCTACACTCATGAAATTTTGATAAAATGTGATGTTTAATAAAATTTTGGATTAATACAGGATTTATAAGTCTTATGCTAATACTGATTTTATTCAGAAACATGCTTCAAATAGATTTTGAAGGAATTACATGTTTAATGAAGAACTGTGATGTTTTTCCAGTTTGATACCAAGATGTTACATCTGTCTCAGTCCAAACCTTTCAGCTCAACCTCTTTTACATCTTGACAGCAAACGCCACCTGTAAGAATGAATAAGGTCCCTCTTTAGGACAGTGGAGACACTTCAAGTGAAAAGCAGCAATGTGACTTGCTGCTTCCTGTGAGCAGTTATACTGTACCTTCACCTCTCTGCAGCTGTCTGAGGAGGCCCTTCAGAGCAGAGCGGTGAAACTTGGAGATCTATGGATACAATTCCCATGAGTAGCGTGAGCTCAATCTAAGCCTGCTGTGAAATAAAAGGCCACTCTCTCTGAGAGGGATTTTGTGAGAATGGAATTATGACTCAGAGAAAAAGTGGGGTGGAAAGAAAGATGAGAATGGCAGCTCTTTCACAGCTGGGTGCATCACCCCAACATAATCCATCTATGGTTGTCATCACTGTAACCTCTACAACCTGTCCCTGCATCTCCTGCTTCGTCACAGAGGTCCCTCACAAAAACCTGTTTTGTTTGTGCCGTCATCGGCGTCACATCTTCTGTGCTCTGATCCTGGATGAACCCTCTATGCAGAGAAAATACAAATAAGGGAAAAAATAAGACTGAGATAAAGAGACGAATGGAGGATGATGAGGTCCCAGAAGAAGAAAGAAGTTTCCCAGATCATGGAGTGTGGACATGTGATGCCAGGAAGAGAGGCTGAGGGTATGGCAGAATGAATAGAGCCCTCAGATTGAGAGCTGACTGAATGGCACACTGTTTAGTTCCTTTCTTAAGAGAAAATACAAAGAAATCACCTTGAAATTACTTCATTTATAATGACTGATGTACAACATTACACTGCCCCAAAACAAAGCTGACACCTTTTCTTGAAACTGACAGCAACCCTCTACCCAGGATAGTGTAACAGTGCGAAGCCTATGTCCCGCCACTGACTGTTGAGAGAACAGGAACTCATGGTGCGTGAGGTCTAGCCCTCAGGCAGGGCAGCAATCCATCATCAGAGGACTAATGCAGCCAACCAGAGCTGGAGTCCATAGAGGTAACAGACCAACGTGCCTGTAGTAACGCTGTCTAGCATGAACACCAAAGGGCAGAGACAAACCAAGCTGACGTGAAAGAACTAGCAGCGACAAAGGCTGACCTCTGCGTCGCCTCACGTTGTCTTTGTCTGGGTCAGTCAGGTTGAAAAGTGGCACTTGAACACAGCGCACAGACTATGGCCAACAGCCAACTAGCACAAACGTCCTGTGCCTGGTGAGAGAAATAACTCCCCCTACCATCAGGTGGCGGTATCTGTACTTGCCATTCAGAAAGGGAAAGAAGATGACCTAGACTATGGAAATACAAGCTGTAAACAAAGTAGCTCTGGTCCAGTGCAGCTGCTTCTAATCGAGAATATGTCTGATAAGAAGTTGCAAATGCCACTGGCATTCTCTGTCCTTGGTTGTGCAAAAAGAAAGGAGATCATGGAGGTATAAAACTACAGCGACAGGCTGAAGGGCCTTTTCCTGAACTGTTCACTTCTCATGCATTGATTCACTAAGCTGAACAGCGAAACGGTGGTCTCTTTCTCACCAACAAGGCCCGACGGTCCGGCGCCAATTCAACATCGAATCGGCCAAAAGCCACCGATAGGGGCCGACTAGTGTCAACAATGCAGGACACACAGGGAAGGCGAACCCTGACAGATGCTCACTGACGGCCCAATAATCGACTGCCGGCTTAGTGTGTCTCTGCCCGAACACACAAGCTCACTGGACCAGTGCAGTTATGTCAATATTACCTTATACAAAGCAGCTCATTCATTTCATTGCTTAATAGTCACGGTTGCTAGAGAAAATCAATAACACATTTCTACAGAGTGTCTTTTGGGATTATTCTGTGTCAGTGGTGTTTTAAATTTGGCCATAAATTACATTTTCCTTGATAACATAATTTATAGCACATAGGCCATCATGGGACATAAATTCCCCACTATAACCTGTACAGATTCAATTCTTTGAGGTTTACAACACAGCTCTTTCTGGTAGGGTTACCAATGGTACCAATTAAATGGCATGATAACTGCAAGATACACAATGCAACTAATAATGTGATTGTACAAATAATTCTTATCATAGCCCTCTTTCATGGTCATACCAGGAAAAGCCAAGGTGATACTAATACTATCGATGGTTATGCTCTTTTGAAATGTCCCTGTACGCCACGACAGTGTGAGACAGCCTACACAACACCAGGACCCAGATACTGAAGTGGAATTCAGCTATTGTTATTGTTAACACCTGTGCTTCTGTGACATGTCAAAATGTCCTCCCTGCAAAAGGTCTTTTTGCTAATTCCAGCTTTTCAGATATGAGAATTTTCTCCTTTTCTCTGCTTTATATCAAAGCAGCATTAACAGTTTGGTGTCTGGACTGTTAAAAGGTCAAAAGAAGCACTTTGAAAATGCCAACACAGGCTTTAGGAACTTCAGATATGCATTTATTACTATTTTCTGACACATTATCAACTAATTCATTAATCATTTAATCATATATAGTATAGTAGGTCTAGGTTAGTTAAAATGATTGTTAGTGTTTCCCAGTAAAATTCATTCATTACTCCTGTTCTGGAGGTTTACCAGGTTCATACATTCTTTTTGAATCCCTGAGTACACCGTAATCAGTGTGATAGTTTACAGCTCATGAATACAAACACACTAGACATTATAGGAAAATCACTGAGTAACTGACAGGGCATAAGAAAAGAATAAAAAGACAATAGCAATGAAGAAATATTTCCACTGATTTAGGAGCTGAAGAGAATTACAAATGTCTGCATCTGTTTATATTTTTTCTACAGTTTGCAATGTGAAGAAGTAATCATCCTGTTTTCCATCAAATCCCTTGCACAACCTCAATATCCCACCCCACCCTGTTTCATTTTACTACAATAGTCTCCTTGTTTTAGTGAATTGTGGCCTGAATGGCACCGTGCTGCATTATCATGATATTCCTCCACAATGCAGCTAAACGGGCCCATTCAACCCAGATGACCTCCACAAACCCCAGCAGAGCTGCCAATAGCTGCCCTACAGCACGAAACATAGGCTCATTAAAAGTCTTATTTGAAAAGCTGCCAAGATCTACAGCACCCTGTACTTTTAGTATAGCACCTTTGACATGGAAAAATGGCTGTACAATGTTTTCCTGTATCGATGGGGAGAGAAAGTAGGGCATTTCCATTGCTGAACACAGTAACAACACTGTGCTCAGCTGTACGATCACCATAGTGGGCCCTGACAAGCACCAGTCTGAGATGTTTGTCTTGTTTTCTCATAGATATAAATACTCAGATTCACTTTCACAAGTTGTGTACTTATCACCAACTCAGATTAAAAAAAACAGCAGTGAAAAGTAAACAAGTACATTTACTCAAGTACTGTCCTTAAGTACAATCTTGAGGTATAAGTATTTCATTTTGTGCTACTTCATACTTTGACTTCACTATTCACTAAGTTTATTTTATAAGTTTAGTTATTAGTATTTAGTTTCTAGCTCACCCCTTAAACATTAAACGTGACGTACACAATAATGCATCAGTAATTGTAATCCAATAAGATATACATTAATGTTAAATGTGCAATTCTGCAAAAATGAGTACTGTTACTTCTAAGATTTTATGTTTTGATGCTTTGTAAACCTCTTTTTTAAAGTAACATGTTGAATACAGAACTACTACTTGTACCAGAATATTTTTACACTGTGGTACTGCCATTTTGACTTAAGTAAAGAATCTTAAGCAGTTCTTCCACCACAGCAAACAAACAAGTTTTGTTCACAAATGTATTTGTGAGAAAAATTGATGTGAGGTTTCACAGAACAAGTGGTCTCTTCTGAAGTCACTGTCTCTTTAGTGTGAAATTGTGAAGGAAACTTGTGCTAAGAGGAGCATAACTTTGGAAGGTGTAGTACCAGCTTGATTTGTCTAACTCACGTTAGCTTTATTGACTGGAGGAGCAATTGCAGCGACATTTACTGCACATAAATGTGAACCCATTATTTTAAAAAGTACTTAAGAACGACTAAAAGGTTCATTTGGTTTAATTATTTGTCAGGGATATTACAAGCCATTTATACCGAGGCAACCATTCCTTTAATAACTCTGGTTGTATGACACGACTGTGGGCAAACTTGCACGTGAGTAGGAATTCTTCATGGCAATAATGGATTTTCGGCAATCTATCAATGTGATGAAGTTGATTTGTTTTATATTTAATGTACAAAGCAGTCAACCTAATGTATTGTTTTAACTGTAAACACTTTCTCAAATGAACTTTCAGGAAATTCACAACATTACTATACTGTACTGAGTCATATTCTCCTCACAGTGTCAGAAATTTGAGAAAAATGGCCATCACAATTTCCCAGAGCCCAAATTCCTTGTATTGTGTGAGCAAGAGAAATTGGTTTTCCAGTTATATGACAGAAAAAATACCACCCCTCACATATAAAGCTGCAAATGTTTGATTGAAAAGTGACTCAAATGATTCCAACACAAAAAGACTGTTTTTAAATTAATAACTTAATCAATTAATCATTTTGTTTCTAAGCACTATATTCATTTTGATATCACATCATAAAATTGAATATACTGTGGTAGAATAATATGGGTGATAGGTGAATATCTCCTCATTTGCTGTCGTGTATTATTCCTGGTATCACGTACCTGCTTGGAAATGAACTTGTCCTGTTGGTTGAGCTGCCAGGCGGTGAATAGGTGTACGCTGGACAGCACGGCTCCACTAAGCACAGCAGCTCTCATTCTGACTGGCAGCAGTGTGTAGATAATGTAGACGAAGAAGACGGTCCACCAGATACCCTCTGAGGCGCTCCGGGGATACACCATCAGCAACCCAAAAACCTGCACTACAATCAGCACCCCGATCACCAGATAGCTCACAATCCACATGTAGTCCTGGTGGAACCCGTTGCGGTTGCACACCACCATCATGGCGAGAAAGAGAGCCATGGCCACAGAGAGTACTGAGATGTAGGCTACGTCAGGGGTAGTGTGAATGCAGTGGAAGGCCAGCATGACCCCACACACCACCACCAACACCCCCATCAGCATGGTCAGAGAGCTCTGGTTGAGCCTGAAGAAGTAGCGCTGGTACAGACGCTCCAGCTTGGCAGACTGAAATTTCTTGGACCGGAAAACCCACATCACTCGCATCCAGCAGTCTGCTGCAGTCATCGTCTTGTAGCTGCCCTCTGCTAATTCCCCTAATTCCTCCTCTTTCCTGCCCTTCAGCTCCCCATCTTCAAACCCCAGGTCCACAGCCTTAGGACCCAGATCCCCACGATCCCCCATCCTTCTCCCATAGTGGTCCTCTTGCCAGCCACAGCGTAAGCCAAAGCTGCCCCCACTGGCACCAGCTCCGCAATGATAATGCTGAGGAGCCGCATTATGAGGCTCAAGGTCCTCCGGATCCTTCAAGCAGCTCATATACCGTGGGTTGCACAGCGACGAGCTGTCTTTCCTCTTTTTTCCATTGCGCTCCCCCCATGCTGTCTTTCGCTCGTCCACTCTGCCCACAAAGAGGCCTCTGGTCCATGACATCCTAAAGAAAACATGGGGACATAAAGAGAACAGACAGAGGGAAAAGCTTAATATAAAACACTGCACAAGTTAGAATCTTTAATCTGAATATCCTGCAAGCAAAATATCTTTATCTGTATTTCGATATTTGAGGATCCTCTCACCTGTGTGGGCTTTATTGTGTGTAGCAACACTGTGCTCTCTGGCCAGGCGACTAGTGTATTCCAGCAAGCGCACACCATGAGCTCCAACTGGCCAGAGGCATCAGAGGTGTCTGTGTGTCTGAGCCGCCCTTTGTTTGTAGAACCAGCGTGTTAGTCCCATACACCATCTAATGCCTCTCGACCACCTGTTTTCCTGAGAAACCATACAAACAACATTATACTGATGAGCTAACATTGCCTGAGGACATATGACCTGGGGATCAAGATCCTTATGAATACACAAACATCCAGGAAAACACATATCTTTTATGCTGCACATATTGATGGGTCCACTGTGTTTGTGGGCATCACACTGAGTATAATTCTTTTGGTTTGAAAGTTTGGCAATCAATAGCTGAAATAGAAAAAAATAACTCATCTGCTCCACTCTTCCTCATCACCTTCCTCCAGCAGCCTGGGGACAGCATCTCCATAGAAATGATTTGCTGTTTTGTTTGCAAAACACTGGATTGTGACAGCAAAATCTCCTCCAACTACTGCCTCATGCAGCAGGTGCCACTGGCCAATTTTATCATCAAACCATAACACTGACCACAGCAACCTTTCCAGAAACCCTCCACTGATTGCTGGATGTTCAAACATGTACCATTTTGGAGGAAACCAATAACTCTTCTTGATGCTCTACTGTGGTCTATCACTGCAATCTGCCCCAACATCTTGAGTGGGCAGGGATGGCTGAGCTCTGTTTGACAACAAAGGCCAACTGAGTGGGCACCATAAGAGATTAAGAGCTCTCCAGTCCAGATTAAATTGTCCATGCTTCTCCCATTAGCTTTGATGACTCACTATAGCTGGCAGCACATGTCAAGGACACTGCTAACCTCTAAACTTAATAAACAAATCTCTGCCAGGCTGAATGAGCTGAGACAAACAGTGGGATGGTGCACATGAACTGCACACTTGGACATTTTAATAATCAGCACCAGTTTTTAGTATGGGTTGCTAAAAGAACTTTATTTGAAAGAGCATGGCTCATTGATTATGTTTAAAATACATTTTTATTAGTTTTATTAGTATTTTTCCTATCTGGAAAACATTTTCTTCACTAGCAACAAAACAATTAACCCCCTTCTGACAGTGATCTAGTAACCAATGATGTTACAAACTGGTACAACAACCAGCGTGATATTATACAGTGATAATGAAAATATGCAGCCGCTTCACCTGCTTCTAGTTTACAAGCTTCCTCTGGGAACAGTCACCTAAACACTGAAACATTTCTGACAGGTTAAGCAGGCTTGTATGTACATTCATCCATCTGCTGCAGAATATCAAGATCAAGATCAAAGATTTTTTATTGTCAATTCACTATATGTGCAGGACATACAGAATATCAAAATGCCATTTCTCTCTCACCTAGTACTGAATGCCATACCATTTAGGAAACTAAAATAGAATAAACATAGAGTAAAAATAGACTAAAAAGAATAAGAAAACTAAGTCAGCGTGATTAGGGTAAAACTAAACGGTACAACCTAATAGGCTATGACTCAAACCATGTATAATCAGTGACAGTAGTACAAATAATAACAAGAAGACGCACATGGACAGTAGTGCAAATGACCAACAACAGCAGATATGACGGTAAAAGCAGTCAGCAGCAGATTTACATGTACTGGGTTTGTGCAAAACAGCAGAGGTAGTCTTCTATTAAGTCAATCTGGACCATGTATGGGTCGATTTGAGCTGTGTGAGCTCTTTGCATTACACATTAGGAAGATGCTGCGGTTCTCACTTACATGCCAGTAACAAGAATTTGCCCCTTTCTTTTTCTCTATGACACTGACCTGCAGCCCTACTGCCATCGCTGTTAACACAGGCCTGATGTTAAAAAAATACAAATAAATAAACCATGTTTAGCCTTTACACGTGTAGGCCCAGGTTATGTGTTTGCGGGCAGTAGGTCTTATATAACAGGACGCTCCAAGCAGCCTTCATGCAAAGTCGACGGTCACCATGTTCAAATGTGTCCTCCTTCAACACACTAGGACTGTGGACTGGACACCCTGAACCCACAGTATGTGGGCTACAGGGGAAAGTGCAGCTCGACACCCAGCAACTTGTCAGGAGTAAAACATTCCGTAGGGCAGCTCCAGTCTTGGCAGTGGATCCCCCCCTTTATCGCAGGGATTTGCAGTCCAGTGTACAGGACTACTATAGTGTAAAAACCGGGTCTACATGGGCCTGTCTCCCCCAATACGTCATTATATTTCGACTCCCGACGGGTCACTAGACGGGAAGAAATTGGTGGAAATGATATGGCCAGAATGCAAACAGCTCATTGGCCTCTTTGTCTTGGATTCACGTTAAATGTCACGTTAGAAAGGTGTGAATGAATTGTCTATGCCTGCATATGGACCAGCGTGTGTACCCTACAGTCCCCGCGCTCCTCAATGTCGCCGCAATCATTACAGCAAAACACTGTAGTACAAGTCAGCTGTTGGCATTTCTCCGACTGCCGTTTCCTCTCACTGTATTTCAGCTAAACCGACCCGCAACACATTAACATTGTGCAGTGCAGTTGCTCAGCACATCCGCGGGCAAAGCTTAAGAGAGACAGCATAGGTCCTACCTACCACTGGAGAGCCTCGTTACAGGAGTAACTATGACACTGCGGTGGAGAGCCACACTAGCCATGTCTTCACGCAGCCGCAGTCACACGCCAAAGATGCGGGTCCGTCCGTTTGAAAGAGGTTGTCGTCCAGAGGGAAGCGAGGAAAAACTGCGAAACTGGCCGGACAGCCTGCGCTCTTCCCAGCCAAGCTACGGTACATTCCCAGTCCCACCTCGACCCCC